AAATGACATTGTTCCTCTCACAAGACCAAGACATTCGTGTGAATCCTTTTATCCATCGACTATCCCATTGTGGAACTCCGTTATGAGATCGAAATTCCACGATTTCTTGTTTAAAATCTCTCTCTCTCTCTCTCTCTCTCTCTCTCTCTCTCTCTCTCTCTCTCTCTCTCTCTCTCTCTCTCTCTCCGTTTAAACAATAGGGTTATCCCAACATGGCTCTTGGCTCTTGGATAAAAATAAATTCATCAGAATACCGGGAACCTGACACGACACGACATAAAGATCACGCAGCGCACATACAATCAAAACCAGTCTATAAAAAACTAATGACCCTATCCGGGATTGGAGGAAATACGGAAACACACAAACCACGTCTAATGATGAGGATGTGAGTATTAAGTGCTAAACTCATAGCACCACAAAGCTCAAAAAGGTTTTTCCTCAATTTCACAGAACAAATAGACGCGAAAACTTTGGTTTCTTACGATGACGGTAAAGACCAACGATTGTTGTTTCGAGCCTATGTAGGAGTTGTATGTTGTATTAGATACATGGAGCACCGATAAACAAATAGTTCGTTAAAACTGGGTTCGAACTCGTTCGGTTGGGTTGGTTCTGTCACATCTAAGGGAGGCAACTCTACCCAGCGCGATGTGTGGCCATGTAAATTAGATCTCTGAACCAGTCGTCCTGTCGTGTAATGCGGAACTGAATATTAAACCCTCGGGAGCTCTTGTCACTTTCTTAAATTCGATTTCTATACTATGATATTGTATATTGATCAGATTACGCTTAATATTTGAATCGCATGATCAGGTCTTTTGCCCAAATCGGGCTATTTATGTTTCCACACCAACTATCAATTCTGCACCGCTGACAAATTGTATGTTTGACCATCAAACAAAGAAGCCTCACGCATTGTTGAATGTTGAATGGACGACGATAAAACGCAACATTAAACTACAAAACATTGTGCCTTTCATATAACAGACTGTTTTAATTGAATAAAAGTGTTCTTCGATCGATGTCCGCTCTATGAATAACGTGTCATTAACCACCAACAGTGACGAGATTGTTTGTTATTCATATTAATAAATTGAGTTATGAATAAAATATGACACACAATCTTTCCTGTTAGTTTGCGCTCTCCATGAAACGACATTTTCAAAGTCAAACATAACAGGAAAAATTCATTTCACTTCAGATCTGAATCATTCTTTCGAGCAAAAGAAGTTTTATGTTTCACATTTTACATAATAATATATTTTGGACTTTGTGAAAACTGACATGTTCTGAAGAATAATGTGTTTTTGGTCAATGGATAGCTGAAAAAAAAATAATAATCCTCTCAAACAAACATTAATTCCGGCCCTTAGTAAACATTTTTTGTGTGTTTTGGGTCAGTGACAAATATGTGATCTAGATCAGAGATTTTGGTATGACTTTGTTCGCAGCGGTTTGTTCAAGCGACCTGTCATGATGAATATTTCAGCCTCAACAGAAGCGGCCACATCAAACGCATGCAATAAACCAAAAGTTGTTGTCCATAAAGTTGAACGTTACTTATTTACTCACCAACTTCTAGAATGCCAGGGGCGGTCGGGTAGCCTGGTGGTTAAAGCGTTCGCTCGTCACGCCGAAGACTCGGGTTCGATTCCCGACATGGGTACAATGTGTGAAGCCCATTTCTGGTGTCCCCCGCCGTGATATCGCTAAAAGCGGCGCAAAACCATACTCACTCACTCACTCACTCTAGAATGCCTATAGTCAATATAAACAACCGTTATGAACATGCGCGAGCGAATTCAATATGGGGGCGGTCTGGTAGCCTAGTGGTTTAAGCGTTCGCTCGTCACGCCGAAGACTCGGGTTCGATTCCCGACATGGGTACAATGTGTGAAGCCCATTTCTGGTGTCCCCCGCCGTGATATTGCTGGAATATTGCTAAAAGCGGCGTAAAACCATACTCACTCACTCTAGAATGCCTATAGTCAATATAAACAACCGTTATGAACATGCGCGAGCCAATTCAATATGGGGGCGGTCTGGTAGCCTAGTGGTTAAAGCGTTCGCTCGTCACGCCGAAGACTCGGGTTCGATTCCCGACATGGGTACAATGTGTGAAGCCCATTTCTGGTGTCCCCCGCCGTGATATTGCTGGAATATTGCTAAAAGCGGCGCAAAACCATACTCACTCACTCACTCACTCTAGAATGCCTATAGTCAATATAAACAACCGTTATGAACATGGGCGAGCGAATTCAATATGGGGGCGGTCTGGTAGCCTAGTGGTTAAAGCGTTCGCTCGTCACGCCGAAGACCCGGGTTCGATTCCCGACATGGGTACATTGTGTGAAGCCTATTTTTGGTGTCCCCCGCCGTGATACTGCTGGAATATTGCTAAAAGCGGCGTAAAACAAAACTCACTCGCTCACTAGTTTAATTTGAACTTGAAAATAGGATTTGAACAACAAATTACAAACGTTATCAAAACAGAACAAGGGTGACAACAGTTACCAAACCTTGAAAACTTATGGTCCAAAACGTAACCAAGGTGTCCGCCTCAAAAATATTACCGTCGAATAACTATTTCTTCTTTGTTTTATTTTTAGCCACCTTCAAACATGAATGGATATCTTATTTGCCCGGAAAATATTCTGTCACAATCACGATCAGTGGTTATTCATATCTCACATAATCCTGATGCAAATAACATCGTTTTTCGTTTCCGTTGTTGAAATGTAGTTGGTATGTTTTAACCCTTTAAACCGACCCATACGAAGGAAAGTACAGCTGACAAATGGTCATTGTTAATTGTGGAAAGGAGAATGTCTAAGGGTTAAAAAGAGCGAAGAATACGTTAGCTTTGCTGAGGACGTGCGCAGCCGACTAAGACCGTGAACGGAGGCTTCCTGTCAAAGCGCAAACGGAGGGGCGGGCTTGTACGATCAAGCGTGTAATTTTGGAGCATTCGTCACCACTCGCCCCTTTTCGAAACCTGAAAGAAGACTCGCCCCACTATCGATGAATGTTATGTGCGAAAATACGACAAACCAATCAGAATGCGCGTATGATTTCAAGTTCTTCGTCAAAGAATCCCTCAAAAAATTATTTTTTTATTTTATATATGTCTTGCATCTAAAAATATACCCAAGACACAGTTAAATGTGTTCAATCATACTGTATAATGTAGAATTCCGCATGTCCAGGTGTGCTTTAAATTGCATCTGAAATATATATGATATATTGTGAAATATATGTGAACAATTACGCAACGAGTTGAAAATTGTTTTAGGTATGCCCGTTTGCGCTAAGACGGAACCCGGTCGCAAAAATGGCCGCGAGAGGGGCACGAGTCGCTATTCGGCTTGTCCCGGAATAACACGAGTTGGTCACGAATGGAGTCGCTATTCGGCTTGTCCCGGAATAACACCAATAGGTCACTAATGATTTTGCAGGTAGCTTGTGCGACCAAGCGTGTAGTTTTGAAGGTAATTTCATCTAACAAGACCATATTTGGATCCTCTGTATATAAAGGCTCCGCCTCCGCCGTATTTGAAATTTATAGACAGGACAATAGTGCAAATAAACCTTATTTACGCGCCGATGTCAATGTTTTTACTGCGATATTTGTATTGACGATCTATCCAAATCTGCAAAGTTGTATGTATCCATGAAACTTGCACTTTAAACTGTATATTTGTTAATGCGGACAATTTCGTTGGGAACGGTTCCGTCCGAATCCAGGTGGTTTCACAGTTTTCCTTAAATCCACTTGCATAGTAATTGATTGAATTCCGACTCAACGTGTTTCATTATAGCAAACTAATTATAGGGTTGTTTACTTGGTGCGAAAATGGTATTCTCACGTGGATTAGCAGGGCTGTCTTATCAGGACACCGTCCGTCGTGTTGACACGTCTGTTGTTGGATGGCTGTTTGGGTAGCCCCAGTGCATTGTGTGGTTGTCTGTCATGTAGATGAACTTGCGTTGTTCCCTAGTGGGTAAAAAACAGAAATCCATATTTGGGGTCACTCTCCGAGATATTTGCCGAAAACTGTGTCAGAACATTCCCACATTAGCATAAAACAATATCACATGATGACAATGGTAATTGAAAAGATGATGATGATGATGATGATGATGATGATGATGATGATGATGATTGTGTCAATAAAAGTATTATCGACCACAATATTTCTGCTTTAAAGTGGACATTATTAGTATTACAATAATAAGGATAGGGATATAGGTGAATATGATGATGATAGAAGATAATGGTGCTGGGATGATGATGATGATGATGTCAATAAAAGTGGGCGGTCGGGAAGCCTAGTGGTTAAAGCGTTCGCTCGTCACGCCGAAGACCCGGGTTCGATTCCCGACATGGGTACAATGTGTGAAGCCCATTTCTGGTGTCCCCCGCCGTGATTTTGCTGGAATATTGCTAAAAGCGGCGTAAAACCAAACTCACTCACTCACTCACTCACTCAATAAAAGTATTATCGACGACAATATTTCTGCTTTAAAGTGGACATTATTAGTATTACAATAATAAGGATAGGGATATAGGTGAATATGACGATGATAGAAGATAATGGTGCTGGTATGATGATGATGATGATTGTGTCAATAAAAGAATTATCGACGACAATATTTCTGCTTTAAAGTGGACATTATTAGTATTACAATAATAAGGATAGGGATATAGGTGAATATGACAATGATAGGAGATAATGGTGCTGGTATGATGATGATGATGATGATGATGATGATTACTGTGTCGATAACAGTATTATCGATGATAGTTTTAATGTTTTATAATGATCTTTATTAGCATTACAATAATAATGATAGTAATAAAAACGGGGATGACGATGAGAGGAGAAGATGATAGTGCTGTTTTAAATTGGATGATGGGGATAATTTTAAGATGATAATTGTATTATATTGATATTATACCTACCTATTTAATCAATGCATGGCTTGTTTCCTTTCAGACTTTCCTAAAGGCAATATGTGTCGGCACGCCGTTCTGCCATCGTAAACTAGAAGTAAGTATTAATCAGTGCGTCCATCCTGTAGAGTCCCTTTATAACACAGCAAGTGAGAATGTGATTCTTAGAACACGCTGGCCCTTGACAACAATGTCGTTATGTAAACTCAAGTCAGCGGCTGAGACACACAAGACAATTGGCACACAACATTTATTGATATGGTTCCCTATTTTTGTCTTCACCGTAACAGAAATGTCAGCCATGGTCACGTGACTGTGTGTGATTCTACCGACCCAGGATTAAACATAAAAGAGTTAGGCCAAATTGCAGACCAGCTATTTTGGTTCAAGTTATACCAATTTTTTCGAGCCTGCTAAATTAACTGCTATGATGTATAGAGATCCAGTTGAAGGCAGTCAACGACAGCCCATTCAAGCTTGTCACGACAGCGAGGCTCTGATTATCGGAACATTTATTTAGAAATTTATCCGAATCGTGTCGCGTGCAGGAAGGGAATTTCCGGTGACCTATTTAGATGACGTGTTATTTTAGGGGGAGGGCAGGGGGCACGGGTGGCCAAGTCGTCTGAGGCGCCGTAAGTCGCTCTGCAGAGTTGCGTCCCTTGGGCACACCAGGAAACTGTTATAGTTGGTTTGAATCCCTACTCGCCCCAATTATGTTTCCAGTTTTGTTAGTATCTTACCCGCTCTCTTGGTTAACGTTCTGCATCAACCCGACATTAAAGGGGAAGTGTACACGCCAAAATCACTTTCTTTTTTATTTCTGAAAGCAAAACGCAATTTTAGAATTAGTTAGTATCAGCTCACAATAAGTGAAAATGTCGTGCCGTTATTATTGTGCTCAGCGTTGTATTATGAACAGCGCGGCACCGAACAAAACAATAGGCTGCGCATCTGAGAAGATAGAATCACACACCTGTACCTACACCACGTGAAACGGATCTAATAAAGTCTTATGACGTCATTCCTTTATCAATTGGCACCAATGACGTCACATCGCAAGGGGTATAAGCCATGGTGTGTTTATTTAAGGATTGACTGTGTATTTTTTTCGGTTCATTGAGGTATGAATCGAAAAACCAATGTGCAAACTGTATGAATCCGCGTATCAGCTAATCAGTATACAGGAATTTCAATGAACACAACGAAAATTTAATTATTATGGAAATGGAACTCTCGGTTAAAGTGAAAAATATGAACCTATTTCATGAATAAATTAAATGAGAAACTTGTGATATTTGCATTGTTTGGCCTCTGAAACTACTAGGTAAATTATTTTCATGATGAAAAAGTACAAGAAAAATAGGTTTATTTCGTTTGCCTTTTAAGCTGACACACTTGAATACTGTTCAAAGCGTCGTTAATCCCAACTCACTCACTCACCCTTACTAAAGGTCTTATGCGCATGTGTTTAGGATGTACCGCTTAATGGCCCCCTTACACCTTAATTACACGGACGAACTGTATCAATTCCATGGCGCTTAGCACAGCATCTGGCTGGAGACGAATTGGGATGCAGATCTTGAGGCAACGTCTCTCGTAAGGCTACTCTCCTCTGAAGCATCGTTATAATGTCCGCGTGTCCACTTTGCTGACCAGGGGCTTCTATGGTTATTTGCCAATAGATATTGCACAGACAAATGAGTCGGACAGGGAAACGTGTTTTTTTAATAACAACTCCATCAGGTCTGTGTCTTTAGGGACCCGTGAAGATCCGGGAAGAGAATAGGTCTTCAGCAACCCATGCTTGCCGTAAAAGGCGCCTGTGCTTGTCGTAAGAGGCGACTAACTGGCTCGCTGACTTGGTTGATACATGTCATCGTATCTCAAATGCGTAGATTGATGATCATGATCACTGGATTGTCTGGTCCTGACTTGATTATTTACAAGTCGTCATATAGCTGGAACATTTCTTAGCGCGGCGTTAAGCAACAAACCACAAACAAACTACGTCTTCAGGACGGTGGGGTAGCTTGAAGATTTAAGTGTTCGTTCGTCACGCTAAAGGCCCGGGTTCGAATCCAGACTTGGGTACAATGTGTTAAGATTATTTCTTGTGTCCCCGTTTAGATTTTTCTGGAATATTGAGTCATAAAACCATACTCACTCACTCTTACATCAGTTCTGTGCTTCATCATCCAGCTGGTCATTTCTTACTCTTTCATCTTATTCCGTTCAATTTCGCCAACTGTTTGTTATTATAACGATGTTCTCTGTATAACGACTAGCCTGTCTCACACTCCCTGAACCATATTATTTCGCCCAGCCCTGCTGTTACCCTAAATAAAGAAAGTCTAGATTTTCCACAGCTTCAGGCCTGAATCTCTCTTCTCACTTGGGCTCCTTTTCAATTTAAATGAAGTTGGTTGTTTCGATCAAAATAATATATTTTCAAACTAAACGAGCATCTCTGCATAACGAACATGTCTGTATAACGAACATAGCTGTATGAAGAACGTTGCAGTATAACGAACATCTCTTTATAATCAACATGTCTATATACGAGCCTCTCTGCATAACGAACGTATCCGTTTAACAAGCACCCCTATAAAACGAACATGTCTTATAATGAGCGTCTCTGTATAATAGATAGTACGCGACAAAACAATTTCCATAATCATAAGAAATCCCGACTAACACACGAACATGTGTGTCTGAATTGCATGTACTTTCAAGTAGTAATGATACTTGGTGTTCCATAAAAAGGTAAACGACTTCATCGTCTATTACGAACGTCTCTACACAACGAACGTCTCTGCATAACGAACGTCTCTTATAACGAACGTCTTCGTTATATCTAATCCGGAAAAGAATAGGTCTTCAGCAACCCATACTTGCTATAAAAGGCGACTATGCTTGTCGAAAAAGCGACTAACGGGATCGGGTGGTCAGACTCGCAGACTTGGTTGATGCATGTCATCGATCCCCATTGCGTGGATCGATGCTCATGATATTAATCACTGGATAGTCTGGTCCGGGCTCGATTATTTACAGACCGCCGTCATATAGCTGGGTTATTGCTGAGTGCGGCGTTAAACAACAAACCAACCAACCAACGTTATATCTAACATTGGTCAAGTTATCAGTAAATCTAATTACAAAATATATACGGGATAATTGAATTCGCTGTACCTCGTTCTATCCAAGGTCAGCAGCAACTGGTTTGCTCGGGGCCTCAGTTAATAGCTTTGATCGCCCATTTCGCGAAAATCGGCAGTTTTTATATGTCATACAGTAATTAGCCTACGTATCCTGGCATTACACCTTATTAGTTCCTGCTTCTGACCAGCCTAACGGCTGAAATCCGAACGATGAGCAGCCCGTGCTATAACGAGGTGATCACTGACAGCACCTTAGCGTATGTCCTCCGTGGATCTTCCCGAACTAAATCATCATCATCAACCTCCTCCCACGTCTTGAAAGCATCCCAAATACAGTAATCAATAACAAAAAACCTAGTATTCACAAATAAAACCTGACTTTCGTTATCAAATACTAGCCAATCAATCACGAAGCTGGCGAAAACGTTTATTTTGGTCGTATTAACATGTACGGTCCGATGATTCAAGCCATGTTTTTATCTTTTCATGCTCAGGATCCTTGATATGAGATGGGGTTTTTCTTGAGTTTGTAAGTTATTTTTTTCTGACTATATATTTGCTAGCCATTGGATCTTGTCGGAGACTTTTGTATTTTGTTTTAGGTTGGGTATCTTTTAGGTTGTGTGTCTGTTCTGTTTAGTTTGGTTTGTTGAATGGGGTAATTGTTTGTTTTTGACATTATATGTTTTTGTTTAATTGGTTCTAGTTGTTTAATGTCATTTTATTTATTTTTTTAGGGGGGTAGGCTATCGTTTATTTGTTTATTTATTTGTTTGTTTGTTGTTTAACTCCAAACAAACAATAACCTATCCCCTTAAAACAAACAAAAATAAAATAACAACAGACAACCAGTCCGAAACTGTGATTCGAACCAGTAATCACAAACTCCTGGCACGCCCAAGAGACGCAACTCTCGATCTAGACAATGAATTGCAGCGCCTCAGACGAGTGGATCACCCACATTTGTTATGTGATTGCGAATTTCCAACGACATCTCCAACAAACAACTTTACTGATAACACAAACAGTTTTTTAATCGTCCCATCACAAAACCCTCGGATAAGAGGGTATAAATTCCAACCATCCATCATCGATTTTCCATTGTGTTGCAGTAAAATATAACATTTCAAATCACTTTAATTTTGCCTGATCCTGCTACAAACTGTCGAGTTCATCCCGTCTTTCGTTGACGCTAACTGTAGCCCGTTATCATTTCATCACATCTTCCTTCCACAGAAAATGCAATCGTAATTAAGGGCTATGAATCATGTAGGGCATTAATTCTACTTCTGTCGAAACGTGGCCTTGGTCTAGATGTAAAAAGCACAGTCCATAAACGGAATTACAATTCAGTGAAATAAATAGCATTTCTCATGTCAGAAGGTGCTTTACAATGGTCCATTAGGTGCTCGCTGGCAGAGTGTTCCACAAAATCTCCTGACAGAACATGTTTAAAAGCTGCTTTAATTTGCGACGGAGTTTTATTTCACTATTGTTGCACTTTGAATACAACGATTTCGTTAATACAACATTTTGAAACAGCTGTTTGTATACAACTATACAACTGGGAAATATAGGAGATGGAGTAACGACACCATCCAAATCCGAGCAATCAGCTTAACTGCGCGGTTAAAACGTATTACTGATAACATTATCTTGTTCCCATCGACTCTCATCAGCATCCTACAGACGATGAAGCTCTGGGTGATGACACGTGGAAGTGTAATTACTTATATCACATCAACAAGTCCCCTATTCTTAAAGTCATCTTTCAAGAACACTTGCAACCTCAAAGATTTGTGAAATGCTTTTTGAAAAAAATAAGTTGTTTATTTTCTGTGATTTTCAGAACGAATGTTTTGGATACTCTCTTTGTCAGTAGGATAATGGGTGTTTTTTCTAAGGTCACAGTGACCTGCCAATCATGTGTCCAGTG